GATTTTCAAAATTTTTAAAAATTTAATGACGATCGAATTTTGATAGAGACAAATATTTGAAATTTTGATTTTTCATAAACCTTCCCTGGGGTCCCTAGATGTCCCACAAAAAATTTGGGCCCGATCGGTTCAGCCGTTTTGACGTTTATTGGATACAAACAGACAGACAGACAAACTAACACCAAAACAGACAGACAAGCCAAATTTATATATAGACTATAGTTGATTGATATAAATCTTCTACAAGATCAACCTAAATATTACTTACTATAGTTGATTGATATAAATCTTCTAAAAGATCAACCTAAATATTACTTACTATAGTTGATTGATATAAATCTTCTACAAGATCAACCTAAATATTAATTACTATAGTTGATTGATACATCTTCTACAAGATCCACCTAAATATTACTTACTATAGTTGATTGATATACATCTTCTAAAATATCAACCTAAATATTACTTACTTTAGTTGATTGATTCATCTTCTATAACAATATCAACCTAAATATTACTTACTATAGTTGATTGATACATCTTCTACAATATTAACCTAAATATTACTTACTATAGTTGATTGATACATCTTCTACAATATCAACCTAAATATTACTTACTATAGGCTTTTACATGCCCAGCTCTTTCTATGAACAATTTTAGCTGTAAACACAAAAAACCCCGGTCGTCATAATAATTCGTCCTAAATTTTAGCTGGTTTCTCTGTTTGAATTAATGAATATTCAAAAATTATAAATTTCGACATTTTTTTAGGGTAAAATGTTCAACGCCGACCATGCATCCCTTCTCTGGGGTCATGTGAGTTGGCTCAAAAATTTCAGGCTCGAACGGTTTAGCGGTTTTGAAGTTTAAGGATACAAACACCCTGACAGACAAGCAGAGTATATATATGTATATATATATATTAAGACACCAAGTTGTCAGTAAATATACAACAAATATGTCTGTAAAATCCATATATATATATATATTGTTGATGAATATGTATATTATATATGTCAGTTTAAAAATATACAATAACACTCCCTAGAATACAGTATACAGGGGGAGTATGAATATATGAACAACTTAATAAAAGGTATAATTATACAAGGTGTCTTAAAACCTTAAAAAACACCTAGCTAAAAATGTCATGGTTCTGTTCTAAAGAGTGAAACTGAACTTTTACTAAATTGTTTCTAAGGTTGTATCATAAAATTTAATAATAATAATTTTAAAAAAACTTTCTAAGCCAGCTCATCATACACACTATCACACCCAAATAAAAACATCCAAGGCGTTAAATAAGTTAAATCAAAATAGAAAATATTTCCGAATAAAATATCCAGCTTAAATCATCAAAAACATTTAACAGAAGAACCATAATTAAACCATAAATCAAATTGTATTATTCTATTGTATTAATAAATTGTATTTCCGCAGACATTATTAGAATCTATTTTGTATTGATTTTGGTTTAAATAGTCAAATTATCTTTACAGAAACATCCGATAGATTTTATGCTTGTATCAAATGGTTCATACTTTTATTTTCTATCTTTAAAAGCAAAGGAGAAATTAACAGAATTAAACACTTTTCGATCAGAATAAGATTCAAGGGTCACGTTGTAAATCAGGTTTTGCCATCTTTGCATGGAAGGTCACTTGAAATTACGCTTACAGTCCCTTTAGTAACATGTTTTAGCTTTTGTAAACACTTCCTTTAAACGTGAAATTACTGCCTTCTTGTTGAAAAAATGTACTAAATGTTTGCTCCAAATTTACCATTCCTGTGCAGTGTACACTGTAATAATGATCTTATTTTGTTTGATTAACCCTTGAGTAACCCTTTATGTTTTGCATACTGTCGACACGTTCTTAACTATTCTATATTATATATATATGTAATATATGTAGACCACTCAGTATTGAGCTCATCCTATACATACTGTCTATGATATATACCACCCTGAGCAATCAGTTCTTTCTTAACCTCTCACCAACACGGAGCACGCATAGTTCAGACCTCAACCTTGCTCCGTGTGTATCGTGAAACCAGGGCAGATTGAACAGTTTTTTTTTTAAATCCATCCTGCACAATATCCTCGTAGGTTCGAATCCGTCCTGCACAATATTCTCGTAGGTTCGAATCCGTCCTGCACAATATCCTAGTAGGTTCGAGGATATAAATCCAAATCTCTGCTTAAGTGAGAAAAGAAGCAGCGTAAAATGTTGTGAAATATTCCAAATCGTCCAATTGACGATAAAGTTGTTTTTATCAAGGTAATTTTAATAAAATATTGAGAGAAGGGGAGGGTGGATGCCGAATTTTTTGAATTTGTCGAAGAAAGATTTAAAATTCTAGGATTGGACACCAACATTAATTCTTTGCCTGATCGATTGAGAAGTGTTTAATTCTATACCGTAGTTAATCGGACATGCAACTCTATAAATGGAGAGTCAGTTAAACTCACGAACAGTCCCTTTTATCCCCAATTATCCCATTACTAATTTAAAACAAACATCTTTAAAATTGTATTCAAATTATTTACTAACAAAACCTTTTAATTAAATGTGAACAATTATTAAATTAATTTTACTTGATGATGTTAAAGACAAGATATTTACGTGCATATTTAACTCAAAACATATTTAGATTTCATATTATTCTTGTCAACTTCATGCTTCGATAGTGGAGATATTGTCGTTTTCTAAACAATATGGGACAATGCAAGGGTGTAATGCTAGGAAAGTTTATTGCAGTCGCGTATACTTTGCGTACATATTTAAACCAGTTCTCTTTGGGCGGAATTTGTAAACAAGAATAGATGCATCAGTGTTCGTTTAGTATCCGAAGAGGTTAAAAGCATTAAGTTTGATAATTTTGATAATTCACATAATAGTTTCCTATGACCAGAATATTTCATTGATTTTTTTATGTGAAAGATGGATCCCATGTCAGGCTGTAACATCCGTCTTGTGTTTACATAACCGCCCAGGGACAGTACACTGCAGTACAACAGATGCGTACACTTCTGAAATAACTGTCCTTGCATTACATCCTTGGGACAATGCTAGGTCATTTTAGCTTGCTATATATTTACAACGCGGGTTATATAAGATGGACATATATTTCAAACCCATTTCTGAAATTTGTTTTTGGAATTCTGTAATTTAAGGGCCATATTCTTTTGGTCGGTTTAAGTATTATATTGTTAAAAATCGAAGACGATTTTCAATTCTTCTTTTAATTTCTACGTTTATTATTTTTATAATAATTCACTTCATAAAACACAACAACAAACTGTCTTTCAAACACATTTTGAAGTGGGGGTCGTTTCCAAAAAAAAATACGGGGCATTGGACACATTAAGCTCAACATAGGAAAATATTTTAATGCTGGTTAAAATGAGCATTGACTAATGACCGGCCATGCCTCATCTACATCTATTTATTGTACATCCAAGAACTAAAGAGGCTTTGGAATTGAGTCTTTGTCACAAACTCTGATTTTCTATAAATTCCTATACCTCTGCAACCCAATGACCTTAGATATTTCAAACTATGAATTCTTTTGCATTATATCAAATTATCTTAGTTTGAAATATCAAAAGTCTAGAACATCATGTTCCTTAGATATAGGGATTAGAAAATTTGAGTTTGTGGCAAAGACTCAATTCCTTTCTTTTTTTTTCTTCAAGAGTTCATTAGCTCCCTCAGTTATGAATACGCCTCAAAACCACCTCACCGGGTGCTGGATTTGTATTACAATTACAAACCAAACGTTGGTTTACTGCATTATGATAAATCTAAAATTAAATTCTGTCTACAGCTATTTTCTTTTTATGTTTGATTGTGCAATTAAGAAAAACTTGTATAAATGTTTAGAATTTAGTTTTTTGTATATATGAAACAAAGAAAATAACACATTTTGTAAAAAACGATTCAGATTTCAGAGGAAGACTTTTTTTAATTTAAATTAAAAATTATTAGCTAAAGAAAATTGTGTTAAATATCCATTTATCAAAATTTTTTAATTCCTCAAAAGTTTTATTTTATAAAAACCGTAACTAATATTTGTTGTATGAGAACTAAGTATAGAATATATTTTGGTTTATTATTAATTAACGAATACCTCCTTCCATTTTTTCACAAACACTAACGGATGTATTAGATGTCGTCGTTATTTTCCAATTTATTCTAAGTACCACTGTGTATGATTTAACCCCTATGTTTAATGAAACTCTGTGTATAGGTTGAGCTGATATCTATGCAAATATAAAGATGAAAGCGCCCCCGCTACACGCCTGGTTCTAATTTCTACAAGTTCTCCGGACTAATTAGAACATGTCGGATCAAGATCTGATAGTTTCTCAGGTTCCTCTCATCAAACTCCTCCAGTCTAGAACTAAACCAAGGATGTAGAATGGAGGATAGCTGTGTTCTCCAGCCTGGAGTCTGTACCAAGGATGGAGAAGGATGAGAAGAGGTTTATCTCCATCCTCGTCCTAGCTCTCCTTCTCCTTCTCATCCCTGGAGCTGAATGTAGGATCATCGAGGTGACCTGGAGTAGATCCAACCCTCTCCTCCGACTTCCTCATCCTGTCCGGGTCAATGAAGACCACGGGGGTGGGGGAGTGAGTGAAGGGGTTCTAGGATACGATCAAGCACATTTCATTTGTCCTGAGAACGATAGTTCAGAGTTTTCTGTGTTTTCTGTGCCTATAGATGAATATAATGCTTGTGCTCTACTTAAACCAAAATCAAGGTACATGTATCCTGTTCATTTTAAGAATCTATTTTTCCTAATTTTCTCCATATATCTTTGCAACGTCGTTGAGCTTCGATATGTCAAACTATTAATTCGTCTAAGTTAAATATGTCAAAGTTTAACATATAAAAGAAGTAAACCATTAAGTTGCAAAGATAAAAGGATTTTAAAAGTAAAGTTTGAGGCGACTTATTACTTATTTTATTATCCTTAACAGTGATAGCAAACCGGTTTTATTGTGTGTAATTATTGAGGTTGCAAACACAGTGATTAAAGGCTGCAAGATCTCGCGCCAAAAAAATTAGATTCGAATTTAAATAAATTCGAAAAGTGCTTTTAAATTCTAAAATGTACATGTTCATGTACAGTTCGGGCCTTATCCAGCAAGCTTTTTATCACAATGTTCCAATTACACATAAACCCAGGAGGAATATATCCCTTGGTCGGAACCCAGCAGGAATATATCTCTTGATTAGAACCCAGCAGGAATATATCCCTTGGTCGGAACCCAGCAGGAATATATCCCTTGGTCGGAATATATCACGCAAAAATGTCGACCTCTGAACCTGTTTAGCTTTTATATCTCTTGATTTTTGTTTATTTGTCTAGGTATAAGAAAGTATGTGAGTGTTCTCCAGGTTCTCCAGGTACTCCTGGAGTACTACAGTATCCGATCATTATTTCATTCAGACAATTCTCTCCTTTACCAGGTTAAAAATTTTCTTCTTCTTTCCTTATTTTCCTTGATAAGATTCGCCTCCGTTTCCTTTCTTTCTCTTCTTATTTGCTCCTTAAAGTTTAAGTATTTTTTTCATCTCTATTTTCTCTTTATTTTTAGCAGACTCTTTTTTTCTTTTTTTGCTTATTTTTTTCACTCTTTCATCTTTTTGTTTTAATATTTTTTGGCAAACAGTTTTTTTTATTTTCTCTTACTCTTTTTACTCCTTCTCACTGAAAGTCAGATTTTCTGTTGAAAATCATTTTATTTCCTATTTCGACATTATTTAGCCTCTTTCTTTTTATAATTCTCTTTTTTTACTATTTTTCTTTTTATCCCTGTCCTTACATACAATCTTCTTTTTTTCTTCTTTTTACACAGCATTTTTCTTCTTTAAAGCTTTTTCTTCTTCTCCTAATATTTTGTTTAAAAGAGTTTATTNTTCTCCATCCCATTCTTTTTAACCTTGTTCTTTCCTCGTATTCTTCCTTTCTTTTCTCCATCTCATTCTTTTTATCCTTGTCCTTTCCTCGTATTCTTCCTTTCTTTTTCTCCATCTCATTCTTTTTATCCTTGCCCTTTTCTCGTATTCTTCCTTTCTTTTCTCCATCTCATTCTTTTTATCCTTGTCCTTTCCTTGTATTCTTCCTTTCTTTTCTCCATCTCATTCTTTTATCCTTGTCCTTTCCTCGTATTCTTCCTTTCTTGTTTCCATCTCATTCTTGTATCCTTGTCTTTTCCTCGTATTCTCCCTTTCTTTTCTCTATCCCATTCTATTTATCCTTGTTCTTTCCTTGATTCTTCCTTTCTTTTCTCCATCTCATTCTTTTTATCCTTGTCCTTTCCTTGAATTCTTCCTTTCTTTTCTCCATCTCATTCTATTTATCCTTGTCCTTTCCTTGTATTCTTCCTTTCTTTTCTCCATCTCATTCTATTTATCCTTGTCCTTTCCTTGTATTCTTTCTTTCTTTTCTCCATCTCATTCTATTTATCCTTGTCCTTTCCTCGTATTCTTCCTTTCTTGTTTCCATCTCATTCTTTTTATCCTGGTCCTTTCCTTGTATTCTTCCTTTCTTTTCTCCATCTCATTTTTTTGTCCTTTTCCTTTCCTCGTATTCATCCTTTCTTTTCTCCATCTCATTTTTTTTTGTCCTTTTCTATGCATTAATCTCTTTTTATTTATTACTTCTTTTCAAGGTCATTCCCAGCGTTCTCCTACGTTAATTCTATCATTTCTCACAATTATGTTCCTATTTTCTAAACTTAAAGTTACTGTAAACAGGATTTCAAGTTAACCTCAATCTTTCGTATGTGTCCGATTCCCACACCCGATTCTTACACATAGATAGCTGTTAAATTCTAACAATTTCCTTTCTTTGTCTTGGGACACAAAAAATCATTTTTCACAATTGGAAAAAATCAGTTTTAGGATGAAAACTCAGTTATATCTTAACGAAGGTTTATAAGGTATCCTAGTGAATTGGGCCTTCAACTTGAAAGTACGTTTACATGGTTCATTTTCCTAATCCTTTTAAAGTAATGTCATTTTTTTCTTTTTCATCTTCCTAATATGAACACTCTTTAATTTTTTCAGGTGGGTTAGAATTCAATCCAGGAGAAACTTATTATTTTCTTTCCGTCCCTGAGACTCCTGAACCTAGTCAATGTCCTGCCAGGATCTCCTTCCTTATCTCTCAACCTGAGGCCCTGAGCAGGGTTAATAAACCCCGAACCCCTCTCCAGGATCCCAACCTATTAGAGGAACTATCCTTTACGGACCCGATCAACTCCGATGGAAGTTTTCTTGACTCCAGACCTAGTTTATTAACACAGGAGCGTGCTAAACCAAAGAGAAGAGCAAACCTGTCAACTGAACCTAACTCGGATTGGTTTAGTGAGACTGAACCAGGTTCAAGTTCAAGCACTAAATTATTTAGTGCTTGTCAGTTAGCCCTAACTCTAGGAGTAATGAGACTAAATCAGATCCACTTCTAAGTTTTAGGACAAAGGATAACTTTATCAACACTTAAGCAGTTAGTTATAGCTCTGATTAATGAACCCAAATCATATCTCATGAAACTGAACAAAGATCATATCTGAACAGTTAGACCTTACTCTAGGAGTAATGAAACTGAACCAAGATCATATCTGAGCAGTTAGTCCTAACTGTAGGAGTAATGAAACTGAACCAAGATTATATCTGAGCAGTTTGTTCTAACTCTAGGAGTAATGAAACTGAACAAAGATCATATCTGAGCAGTTAGTCCTAACTCGAGGAGTAATGAATCTAAACAAAGATTATATCTGAGCAGTTAGTCCTGACTCGAGGAGTAATGAATCTAAACAAAGATCATATCTGAGCAGTTAGTCCTAACTCTAGGAGTAATGAAACTAAACAAAGATCATATCTGAGCAGTTAGTCCTAACTCGAGGAGTAATGAATCTAAACAAAGATCATATCTGAGCAGTTAGTCCAAATTTTAGGAGTGTTGAACCTGAAACAGGTCCAAATTAGATGAAAACTTAAAGGCTTTTACACTAAGCTAAAAAGATATAAAAGGAATTGAGTCTTTGATACAAACTCAAAATTCCAAATTTTAAAATTTCAGATGAAGAAGTTCTGCCAAAAAATTGCTTTAAAGAAATATTGAGCTCTGACTGACTGACTGGGCTTACAGAGGTGCCATAAATTGTAAAGGTTTATTTTATGTATCAATGTATTAATTGCCATAAATGAACAATGTGCCATATTCCATAAACTTACTATTTGAATATATTTATAAATGCATGAAATATCAACGAAAACAAAAGATTACTGTATTATTTTCTCTCTCTATATATACAGGGTTACCCACAAAGTATTAGACTTCAGAGGTGTTAATATAAAACTACCTTAGAACTTGACACTATATACCTGTAAATATATATCCATATATACAGCTTACATATACTGTATATATGTCTATATATACAGTATATACAGTTTATGTACTTTTATATATACTGTATATATACACATATATACAGTTTATGTATTTATACATATACTGTACATATACACATACATACAGTTTATGTATTTATACATATACAATATATATACACATATATACAGTTTATGTATTTATACATATAGTGTATATATACATATATACAGCTTATGTATTTATACATATACTGTATATATATCCATATATATAGTATGTTTGCACCTAATGAAAACAAAAACTATATCAATCTTTTCCTCCATCAACATATGTAGATTAAAATTCAGAAGCACATTTGCGCGCACGGAAATAAAGTGCGCGTTGGTGAACTCCTGGGGTGTATTAACATAGGGTGTGTGTGCACGTTTGTCAGAGTTTTCTTAAAGTTTGAAAATATTTAAGAAATTATTTAAATCTATAGTTCTATAGTGTGGCGGAGAGTCTGCTAGCACAGTATATTTAAAACTATGCATCAGCATATCTAGTTCAAATACCGGGTTGGCAATATAGTTCTATAGTGTGGCGGAGAGTCTGCTAGCAAAGTATATTTAAAACCATGCATATCTAGTTTAAATACAGGGGTGGCAATATAGTTCTATTGTGCGGCGGAGAGTCTGTTAGCAAAGTATATTCAATACAGGGTTGGCAATATAGTTATATATTGCGGCGGAGAGACTGCTAGCAAAGTATATTCAAAACCATGCATATCTAGTTCAAATACAGGGTTGGCAATATAGTATTAAAATGCGCCGGAGAGTCTGCTAGCAAAGTATATTCAAAACTATGCATCAGCATATCTAGTTCAAATACAGGGTCGGCAATATAGTTCTATAGTGTGGTGGAGAGTCTGCTAGCAAAGTATATTCAAAACTATGCATATCTAGTTCAAATACAGGGTTGGCAATATAGTTCTATAGTGTGGCGGAGAGTCTGCTAGCAAAGTATATTCAAATCTATGCATCAACATATCTAGTTCAAATACAGGGTTGGCAATATAGTTCTATAGTGTGGCGGAGAGTCTGCTAGCAAAGTATATTTAAAACTATGCATCAGCATATCTAGTTCAAATACAGGGTTGGCAATAGAGTCTGCTAGCAAAGTATATTTAAAACTTTGCATCAGCATATCTAGTTCAAATACAGGGTTGGCAATACAGTTCTATAGTGTGGTGGAGAGTCTGCTAGCAAAGTATATTTAAAACTATGCATCAGCATATCTAGTTCAAATACAGGGTTGGCAATATAGTTCTATAGTGTGGCGGAGAGTCTGCTAGCAAAGTATATTTAAAACTATGCACCAGCATATCTAGTTCAAATACAGGGTTGGCAATAAATGCTGCAGAGACTTTAGAGATGACTGTACTGGAAAAAATCTTGGATGATCAGGTTGTCACATTACAAGAAATCATCAGATATCATCATTTTTCTAACTGAAATTTGATAATATTTAACTGTGGTTTCTCTTGCGGATTTATAATGCAGAGAAAAATTGATATCATTTATCAAATCAAATCAAATCAAATCAAATCAAATCAAATCAAATCAAATCAAATCAAATCAAATCAAATTAAATAAATATTTTTGTCTCAAGCTTTAGAAAACATTAAAAACGATATAGCTTAATTACTGTTACTAAGATAAAAAGAAAATGAGTCTACAAACTCAAATTTTCTAATCCCTATATCTTTGCAACACAAAGTCGAACCTTTGATATTTCAAACTTTTGACTATATGATCTAACAGAGCTGAAAACTTTAGAATGAGATATCCTTAATCCCGATTACTTAATCTGAGTATCTAATGAACCACTTTTGATTTTCTTCTTAAACCGTTCTTTCTTGGATATAGTAGAGAAAAATCAAAAAACCGGTTTTTTTAAATCTAAAGAGTCCCTCCCGTTTCTTTATATAATATTAAATGGCGCGCAAAATTTCAAATTTATCGGCTTCATATACGCGACTCTGATTGGTTGAATTTTATACACTTTTCAGGTTACCAGTACAAGGTTAGGTTAGTCTTGATATTTAGAAAAAGAGAGGATCAAGCATTAATCTCAATATCCACCATTCTGAAGTATCCATCTTAGAATACATAATACATAATATACATAAGGTCGATAATGTTATTGGGTTGCAAAGATACAGACTTATTATTAAATTTGAGTTAGTGGCAAAGACTTAATTTTTATTTTAATGGGTAACTTTATGAATAGACTCCTGAAATTCAAATGCAAGTACATGTCAAATAACACCAACAATCTGAATCGAGTTTGACATTTTTTACGCCTCTGCAAACGGAAAATGAAAAAATATATTCCAATATTGAAATGTATCGCTGGAATCTAAGACCTATCAGTATGGAAATTGCTCTTTTTTGGTCTATCTAAAAGTAGAGTAAATATATTAGACCCGTGTGTGGATTATGCATATGCATACTTTATATAAATCTATTTTCCACCGTCAATGATTATAAATGATGAAATGATGAATAATTGATGATTTATATTCAACAATCATAGAGATGAGACACCTACACTTCATTCACCGACAAACAGACGGATAGACATAAAGATATATAGATAGACAAACAGACAGATAGACATAAAGATATATAGATAGGCAAAAAGACGGATAGACATAAAGAAAGATATATAGAGAGAAAACAGACATCAGAGACACAGATAGAAAGACAGATATGGAGCTAATATAGCTACAAAAAGGAATACAGATGATGATATTGATAGAGATTTAGACATTTAGAAAAAAAAAATATGCAGAACATATAGACATAAAGATATATAGATAGAAAAACAGACATAAGAGACATAGAGATTTAGACATTTAGATAAACAGATATACTAACAGACAGATAGACAAAGTGACAGATAGATAGATATACAGTTGACAGATAGACAAATATACAGATAGACAGATAGACAGATATACAGATAGACTGTATAGATAGACAGATTAATAGATAGATAGATAGTCAGCCAGATAGACAGATAGATAGATAGACATATAGACAGAAGGATAGATAGTTAAATAGAAAGATAAACAGATAGACAGATGGATAGATAGACCGATAGACTGATAGACTGATCGACAGATAGTCATCAAGTAAGTTAGATAGCCAGCTGAAAGAAAATAGAGAGAAACGGAGATATAATTTGAATATATGTATCTACCCATCGATCTAGATCAAGAAAATGAATGAATACAAGATACTGCTGTGAATAGTTTTGTCACTCTTGAAAATCAAATCAGACCCTTTAAATATTTCCAAGGTTAGACAATTAATATTTAATTCAGCTGTTGCAGGATTGGAAATTTGCAACTATTTAATTAGTTTTTATGCTTAGTATTAGATATTAGACCGGAACTAAACTAGATGTTAGACCGGAACTAAATTGTAAAATGTAATTTCAATGTTTTTGCTCCAGGTTTCTGCTCATTCATGTTAAATAAAATATTTCTAATTGTCATTACTTTATTGTAACCAGTGAAAACTTTGAAGTAGGAAGCAGACTTTTAAACTCAAGTTAAGACTTTAAATAGTCCAATGAGCGTTAGCCACAGCTATTGAGCAATGTAACCAGACCCATTTTACTTAATTAGTGATTTAATAACTCACTAGTCTATTAAGATATTTATATTGTAACTTAGTTAAGTTACTGTTTACAGATGAATTATTTGTATATTTTGAAGAGGAGAATACATTTAAATCTCCCAGGCCAAAACTGACAAAAATTTTGAGAAATATCTCAATTTGAACCAAAACTCGTTTCGTTTCTGATTGTTTTACCAAAACAGGAAATAAAATGCGTAATTGATCCATGTAACTGCGTAAGCGTAACAAGGTAACGAAACAACCCATCTATCCGCTATGCTAGATTAAAGAGGGGTTGAGTATGTAACCCCCCCCATCTATCATCTCAGCGCACGATTCTATTCGTTGCATATAGAACTTAACCCTATGTCAGGGAGTTCCAATGTACATGAGAAGTTAATACCTTTTTGGATTTATCAGAAAGTGAGTGTTTTGAAAAAAATACAATTTTCTAGCAAAAATTACCGTTTTTATTTATTTTAGAACAGATTTATTTATGTAAAAAATTATATAAATAATCTTAAATCAAATGAAAATCAAATGTAATAATCATTCAAATAAAGTTATATTTAGTCAAAACAGGAAATTGATACGGCGTACTTTTATAATAAATACATCTAGTTTTATATTTTGATTTATTATGAATTATAGTTTTCAAATGCTAACTTACTTCATTTTCGTGGATTTCGAAAATTGCTATTAATCAAGAAGTCGTCTTCTTTATTAAACTCCATGAAAATATTGACGAGTAAGGAATAAATCAATGAATCAATCTGCACGACATTAAAAAACAATGATAAAGACGACATTTTCGCCGGATAATTTAAAAATCTAATATTTACATGGACACACTGTATCAATAGAAGATTTCTATCCTCGCTTATTATAATACGGCACGAGGCGGGGATATTATCTTTCCTATTCTTACACAAATGTCTAATTATTTTAAAATATGAAATCTTTTCGCCATATTTTCCAACATATACTGTCACGGAAAGTATTCAAGAATAGTCTTAAAACTAAAAAATTCCGACATGGCTGGCACATACGCCTCAATCCTAGTCTAATCAAATCATAAGGAAACGTTAATATAAAAAATACTGGTTCCACTTTGTGACTTCGTAGCTTCTCTAGTTCGTGTTCCCCAAGTATGTAAAAAGCAAGTTATTCACAACTTATTATTTTCTGAAACCCTGTA